CGTGCACAACCCTACCCTAGACCACTCACTTGTCTCCCAATAGACAGGCGTTTAATCATAATTCACGGGGAACCTCATCTCTTATTACTGTCTCCTTTCGAGGCAAGTGATACTGACTACAGTGGCCTCAGCCCCATGCCACTGGATTTTCATTGATCACGTCGTGTCTAGTTATCTCACTCCCAAATGTTTTGAATTTTCTAGGACACAGACACACTTTTTAGAGTCAGTTGCAGGTCCAAGTGACCATGCGAGAACTTCCATAGGCTCATCTACTATAGATATAGACCAATGATTGGAAGGAAGTCCTGATGTTGCAACATTGATATCACCAATATGTTCAGGCCATCACTTTAGAGTTTATCTTTATAGTGATGATAACGAGCGTCTACGCGACCTCGGGGGGCTACCACTTTCATTGCTGATCTCTATGGTCATGCCTTAACAACCAGAGTGACATCTACTTCAGATGCTTCACAATGATTGGTTGGAAGTCCTGTTAGAGCTTTAATGCTTCTATCATTTTACACAGGCCACACATTGGTGTTTACATTAATGTTGTGATAACGGAACACTATGCTGTCTCCGGTTTTTATCTTATCCTTTTTCCCCTTTTCTTTTTGTTTTTTTTCAGAATAAAAGAATAAAAGCATGACGTCCCGATTCATCGGATCGTCATGAGGGGGAGAATGGTCCACATGCTGTTTACTACCAACAAATCATTCTTGGACACATCTCTCCTCCATCACAAAAATCAACAACGGCTCTCTATTCTCTCAAATCATCAGAAATGCCAAGGCAGCTTCAAATCAAATTGTCAGCTATACTCAGAAGTTAACCATCTCTTTCCGCTGTGCGACCGACGAGATCTCCTCAAAAGCAATCTTTTTCCGCTGTGCCACCTACACAATGGAGGAGACAAAGGTCGGGTAATCAAATTTGAAGATGAATCCCATGTGCGCCCGGAAATCAACCGAACACATGCTCCAAAGGCGCCGTCGGAATTCATTCAAGCTGATCAAGAGCAACTTCTAGAAGGCAAGGACTACAAGCAAGACTTTGAAGATTCCTCAAACCCCGACATCAAAGAACAAATTGCCAAGAAGATATCAAAGGGGAGATTGCAAGGATTTCTTGAGACAGCCTTCTCAAGACAAAGGAAGCCGAGCTGCATTGAAGTTCAAGACAAAGAGGAGCAACTGGAGAAATCTTATCTACGCTCTCCTCTACATTGCTGAATCAACACAAAGACAAAGATATCCACGCTGCAATGCTGATTGAACATGATTGAACACCAAGGGGGAGATTGTTGAGGAAAAATTTATGGTGTCCAATCCTAATAAATATCTTTGTATTTGTGTAGCTATTTTGTCTAGGTATTTTATCCCATTGAGATCTTTATTAGCTATTACTAGACTAGCTTTATAAGGAAATGTGTAAAGTGTGCTATTGGGCCCAATCAATAAAAGAGCCCAATCATGTTTAGGTCACATCACACATTCCCTAGGCATATAAATACTGCCTTTAAGGGAATGTGCAGTAAGCCTTTACAGAATATCCACGCACATTAGCGCATAGTAAGAGAGAGAGCCGAAACTCTGTTTCTCGATACCCTGCTCTGTATTTTCTCGATCATTGTTGGTATTGAATGAAAGCTGTTTTCTTCTCTACTCTATATCTTTTATATGATTGTTGAATGAAATAGGGACAAACAGAGTTAATTGGCAATGGTTTACGAATATATTTATAGAAAATTTAATTTAATGACTTGAATCTAATTAAACAGAAATATAAAAGAATTAGTACTTATGCTTTCTCGGGTTTTGCTCTTTATTTTTTAATTATTTTAAAAGTTTTTGTCTCGGCATTACTGTTTATGAAAAAAAGATTTGATTTTTTTTTTCTCAAAATAGGATAAAAAGTGAATAGACAGAATTCGTAAACAGAAAGTATATTTCTTTTTAAAATATGAATTATTTACTCCTATTAAAGAATAAAACAATAACAATAGAAAGTAGGAGTAAATGAGGCTCCTATATTAAAATTATGTTTTGTGTGCTGTCATTTAGACTATATTCATAAAGATAAACCACAACATGTTATAATTATGTTTTTTAAAATCTCCTAAACGTCCAAAACCCATTGATGTCACATATTAAGGATTGCAATTTAAGTGTACCAAATTGAGTAAAATTATGGAGAATGAGACGTTAAATTCAAGAATGACTGAATGAGAAGCATGGTCAGAAGCTTGAGGCGGCGAAAGACTAACCGTTATCATGTGAGATCATATTTATATACAAGTTGGGCTGTTTTTGAAATTTGTAAAATTTTTAACACAACATTTCTCCATGCAAGTTAGATCGTATACATTATGTTATAAATTGAATTTTTTTTTAATTGTGCTCTGTAATTGGTTTTGTGTACTTTCTTATACTACTTTATGGGAGATTTATTTAAATAGGAGTAAATAAACCTTTAATTGCCAAAATAGGTCTAAAATTTCAAAATTCCCTAAATAGGAGTTAGTAGTTGTATTTGGACATAAACACTTTTCAAGATTAGAAAACATTGTCACCGGCAGGATGTCGGGCCGCCTCCAGACCATCGCCGGAGAATCGCCGCTAGCTGCCGGACTATCACCGCAAGCCGCCGCTAGCCACCTCAAAACTGGCCGTCGTTGCAGATGTCGCCTACGCCGCTGCAGATGTCGCCTACGCCACTGCAGATCTGACCGCCAGCATCGTGGATCTAGCTAGATCAAGCCGTCGCCACCTGCCGGTCGCCCCTACAGATCTGCTGCCGCCAGTGCAGATCTGGACTCCGCCGCTGCAGACCCGGCCTTCGCCTCTGCAGATCTAGCCGGTGCCGATGCGAATGCCATCATTTTGATCTGAATGCCAACATGAATCCTGAATGCCAACTTAATGGCATTTTCAAAGCAAAAGATGACTTTTTTGAAGAACAATTTTGCCATCTCGATGGCATTCTAGAACAAAATATGACATTTTTAAAACTCAAAGATTAAACACAAAACAAGGTCTGCAATGAAACTCAACAAGAAGAGAAAATCAGAAGAGCAAGAGAAATGAAGGAAGAAGAAAAAGATGACAGAAGAAGGGGGGAGAACGGCGAGCTACTTCAACTCGATGACCGGATCTGGATTCACGACTCATGGATGCTCCGTCGCGTCTCACCGCTGCTCGACGATGGTCCCTTCTGCTCACCGCCATTGATCGTTGCTTGCCGCCGCCTCACCTCGAAGGTCGCCGCCGCTGCCTCACCTCGAAGGTCGCCGCCACTGCCTCACCTCGAAGGTCGCCGCCGCTGCCTCACCTCGAAGGTCGCCGCCGCTGCCTCACCTTGAAGATCTTTGTTGAGAAGATGAACAGGGCGAAGCAATTGTAGAAGAGGAACGAACGGAAGAAGATGCTAGGTCACATGATTTGAGTTAATTAAATTGAAGGGGAGGGTAAATTTGGAACAAAAGTCCTATTTAGGGAATAAAAGTCACATACTCCTATTTAAGAATTTAAGCTATAATTTAGTCCTATTCAAGGCAATAACTCCTACTTTATTCGTATGATGTTTTTATTATTGCATTGACATTTTGCGGTTATAAGTTATTTTTTTCATTATAATTTTGCAATTTTACTTTTTGTAATTAATACTGTAACTTTTTACTAAAATGCACAGGTGACATGATAGTTTAAAAACCAATGAACATTTTCGTTGAGAATCACACAAAAGAACCAATCATCGTATTTAAAGCTTTAACTTTTAAAAATTGGAAATTCTAATCCAACTAATAGCAGTGTACGTAGAAGCACGTGATAGATAATAAGGAGTAGTTGATAGTTTAAAAAGTCTCTTTGTTTTAACTGTTCACAATTTTAATTTTGAATAGCTCAAATATGATAGTTTCAAAACCGATTGACATTTTCATATATAAAAAATAACATGACAAATCCACTACTTAAGAAGACAAATGGAAGGAATTTAAAACTCAAAAGTGCAGTGGGCTCAACCTAGTAGAAGTCTCAAACATATATGGAAAGGAAATGGTGGCTAGATTAGAATTTAGACTTTAACATAGATACTTTCAAAAATAAAATTTAACATTACCTTGTGTTGAGGAACATTGTGAAAGTTCAGCTACCAATTCAATGATAATCTTTAGTAAAAGTAGCTTAGAAATTAAAAAAAAGGTTGGATTACAGTGAGAAAATTTAGAAATTGCTCTATGTAGGACTAAAACATACACAAATTTAAGAAAAAAAAAAGTATAGCTTACTCCCTAAACGGGACTGACTTAGTCCTATTAAAAGAATAAGTGGACTAAAACCTCCGAAAATAGGAGTGAATGAGTCCCATTTTGAGAATAAAAAAATAGTTCTACTTATGAACTTAATCTTTGTTTTAGTTCTAGTTTAGGGATTTTTCTCAAAATTTAAAAGTATTAAATAAAGATTGCACTTTGTTATATAGCAATGGATATATTAGACTCAGGGGAAAATGTAGCTCAAATTGGTTGGGTTGTAGCTATCTATAGAACACTCAAGACTCAACATTGAGTTGAAGTATGAGGCTTATTCCACTAGTCTTAAATTGATTTCAATAGTGTATGTACGTAAATTTAATAATTTATAATGTTCATCTAACCACTATAGTATTATGCTATTATGTATTATGTCTTATCCCTGATAAGAGTAATTAGAAATCTCACTCAACACTGCCACATAGATAAATAAGATGGATAAATATGTGTTGGTAATAAATATCATGTTGAAAATTTGAGCTCCATTTCTCAATAAATTTCCAACATTTTTATCACATGTTGGTTTCATCTATGGACGAAAAACTTAAAAGAAAAAAAAATGAACATGTTGCCTTAGGTAATTTAAAAGCTCGAGAAAAGTTTTTCTTTGGAAGAAATAAGCTTAAATTGATAACACATCATTCAGATAGTAAGTAATCCGACAAAAAGATTCCTGACAACCGTCGTCCCACGAACCAGACTCAGAGTTAATCGCCTCAACAGAAGCAATATAACTCGCTGATCCATTAATGGGCACAATTGAGCCAAAGACGGTTACCTCAATCCTTATATCACCCACATCCAAATTCACAGTCTTACAGAGAGGAATAACAAAACACACCACAAAACAAATAATATTGTCACGGCGGAAAAAAATAAAACAAACAAAACAGAACTGTCCCAGCCTACCGAACTGCACGAACACCCAAATCCTCAGCACTGGTTCTGACTAAAGCAACTTCGGCGGACTTACTGGTCGAAGCCCGCCCCTTCCCCGTTTTTTGTCCCATCAAGTGCCATGTTATCTTCCCCAAGCTTGTCCTCTCCCTGGGAGTCTCAAATCCTTCTTCGTTTTTGTTCCCCCGATGCTTCCTCCTTTGTTTCAGCTTCCACTCCTTTAGTTGTACTCTGTGTTGATTCTGAGATAGACTCCTTCCCCCTTCTCCCATCCTACCATCAGACTTATTATCCCCCATGTTCCTGCGGACTCTGCCAGAGCTCGATGAACCCTCCAGTAGCCTGTGGGACTAGTCTTCACCCCACTACCCGCTCTAAGTTGGACCCCAATTTTTTTCCCCAGGACTAGATCTTCTTCATAGGTCAAGGGACAAAATTTATCTGAATGCCCAATTAAGCCGCAAATAAAACAGAAGTTGGGCAACTTTTCATACTTGAAGTCCACTCAATAACTTTTTCTTTCTTTCTTCAGATTGGTGCCCTTTTTCAAAGGTTTATCCACGTTCATACACACTCTGATTTTCATATAAGAATCTCACTTCTAAGTATTTTGATTATCATCATATCTTATAAATTTTCCAATAAAATTTCCAACCCGCCTGGGAGTACCTAGATTTACTAGGCTATAGGGAGCATTATGTACTTCAACCCAAAAATCAGCCTCATTTAACACAATTTTATGCGGAATATCATCAGGCTTAACTTCTTTCAAAATCAACAGATTACGCTCAAATTGCTAAGGACCGCCATCAAGCACACGATTCATATCAACACGAGGATAAAAAGTAAAAAGATACCTTTTTTCACCAACTTCTTTGATCAAAATTCCTTTCCCTGGTCTCCAAAGAGAGGAGATGAGTTCTTTAAAAGTTGTAAATTTGACCTTCCTGTCTGTCAGCAGCACTCCCACCACTGGAAACCCCAGACTGCTCTCCTCTATCGGCACATCCTATGTATCAAATTCGTCAAGGTCAAGTTCTTCTTCCTCTGCCTCAATCGCCATCTTTTTGTACTTATCCACAAAGCTTTCCATTCAAAGTTTGTTGCCTTGTCTTCCTGCCAGAACGCCGCCGAAGCACGAAGCCCCCTCGAACCAGCGCCTCGAACCAGCAGCCGCTCACCTCAGCACTGAGACCCTCGATTCACCGATCACAAGCGCTCTGCTCGACCGAAGATCCTTCCCAAGCCAAACAAACCAAAAGAAAAACAAAATCCACACCTAAGCCGGAAAACTCCAGCACCGCCCCTCGGCAAAACCGATGGCAGACGAATCTAAGCTAAGCGTTACCGGATGGTAACCCCAGAAAAAAGCTCAAGAAAATTTAAACATCTTATTATGTAAACATACCTCATAAAAGGAACCTATTCACACGGATTTAATAATGTGTGGATTTGATTTCCGGTTTCGGTTAGTAAGCGCTAAATGCAGTATGTGTTTTTACTTCACATGTTTTACAAATTTATTTGTGTTTTAGTAGTGAAGTAAACATGTTCTAAGTTACTATTGTAGTCGCTACACTTAAGATGTCACATTTTAAAAAAAAACATTTAATTTAGTGATATACGTATATAATATATATGTAATTATTTCTTAAAATTTTCTAATAGATTTATGCAACCGACAATATATTTTCTAAATATAGTGGTTTCAAAGTTAGAGATATGCTAAAAACAAAATGTGCATATTACAGGGATGAAAAACAAAACAAAAATATTACCGGGAGCTAAAACAAAGTGTATTATGTTTGCTTGTAATATCGATCAATTAGTCATTCAAAAAACAATGAGCAGGGTATTTTTCAAAAAAAAAAATTGTTGGGTGTATAATTTTTTAGCGAAGGTATCAACTAACTGCACCTGAGTTGGGACATATAACACTGCCAGAAAAAACAATGATCAATGCAAAAAGTGTTGTTTTGAGCATGTTGTAACAGAACTAACAAACAAACAAGTCATGCATAAATTAAAAATCTAACAAATTTAAAACAGTTTGTTATAATGATATTCCGTGTATTTCTTTATTCATAATGATATAACAACTATTATTGAAAATAATAATCACAACTATTGTCGGTCTGCTGACAATAATCCCAACTATTGATTATTTTTGTATAATCCCAACTATATGGACCTTCCGCCAATAGTGGTCCATGCCCAGATATTACCTCCTATAACAAGTGAATTTTAAATAGAAATTAAGCGTAAGAATTAACAGTTGCGATTATTTATAGGGATTACTTGTTATATCTCTTCTCATCCACTTTAGAAACTACAAAAATTTATTTATAGGGACCATTATTGGCGGAAGGTTCCTAAAGTTGGGATTATTTTGAAATAATCGATAGTTGGGATTATTAAAAGCGGATCGCCAATAGTTGAGATTATTACTATCAATTTTTCCTAACAATAATACATTATACACGGATGAACTGTTGAGAGATGATAATCGAGGTGTTTGCGTTCAATAATACATTCAACCGGGAACACATTCAAATTAATTCTTGAAGATAACTGCGCATGTTTGCGTTCTCGAATTAATTTGAATGCGCTCCCGATTGAATTTTTAGCTGAAATTTGGTATGAGTAAACTAGACTTGATGAATAAGATGCTCAAAAAATTTCATCAAAAAATTCCACCGGAAACCGCCCCAAATCGCGACGACCAGACAGAGTCTCCTATAAAAGGACTTAATTGACTTTTTTATAAAAGTTCGAGAACCTATTTGACAGTTTTCCCTTTTTTTATTAAAAAGAAATTTTATTAAAGTGAGCAGGGAAAGTACACGAGGAAACCAAAAGAAAAGTAGCTGAAAGGGAAAAAAACATGCAAAAACAAAACCAACCCAAAGTACAACAAAGATAAAACACAAGTGAGCTAGAACACTTGGGAAGTGGGATCAAAACAACAAGGTGGTGGGAGTTGACCCCCACTATAGAAGGTTAAAAGTTGATCGGTCAACTCCCTAGCTCAAAAATGAGTTCTGACAAATTTGAGGCAAGTGGCTTTTTTTTTGCCGAGTGGTTGTACCGCGTGGAGGAAGGGGAGGAATTCTTCTCCCACATTTGTAGCCACAAATCCTACCAACCTTTTAATTTAATATTTTATAAATTAAATTAATTTATTTTACAAAAAAAATTATACCAAGAAATCAGATTTTTTTCCATCTATAAATAGACAACAATGAAGGATATGTTTACTCACTTCGAAATTTAGCACTTCTTTCCCTCATTATTAAATAAATTGTAAAATACGAATAACACTTTTTTTAAAATAGTTTTTAATTTTACTTTAGCACAACAAATAAATAAAGTGTGCCAAATTATTTTGGACTGAAATTTATTTATATGGTCTGGTCTGGTTTGATCTGGTCTGGTTTGAACTGGTATGGTAAACGTCTAGTCTCTGTGTATTTTATAATTACAGAAGTCTGGTCTGGTCTGTCTGATCTGATCAGGTTTGGTCTGGGGTTGAAAAATAGTCCAAAAGAAAATATCTCAAATAAATTAATAAAGGTGAGATATTTTAAAATAAGGAGAGTGTAAAAATTAAAATGTGATCTAGGTCACCATAGTGAGGAGAAATTGTGATAGGTTAAAGGGGATTAAGTTTTTTTAGAAAAGTGACGTGGAAGAGAGAGGTGTGGCCGTGTGGGTCAAAATCCACCATCATTGTGATGCTCTTATGTTGTGCACTATGGTTGAGAAAAGAATTCCATGTAAAACATCGATGGGTAACCAATTTATAATACAAGTGGGTATAAGAATAGCATTTACCCATAAGTGAGCTAGAACACAACTTTGAGAAGCATATACTTGTACAACTTTGAGAACACTTCACAAAAAACTTAGGGAAAAGTACAGAAAAATACATGTGGTTTGGGCCGTTTTCAGATAGGGGCACGTGTTTCGTTTTTTAACAAAGTGGGACATGTGTTTCAATTCCGTTATCACAACAGAGGCATGGCGTCTAACGCTGTTAGAAAATTCAACCCCGATTTTCAAAAGTCTCTTAAACATTAAAAGAAAAATAATGGGAGGTGCGACTCATCAAGGAGACCAACAAACTATCGTTCTCTTTGAATTTTTCACCTCTATTTGGATTGTTTTTTAAAAATGAATTTGTTAACATCACTTTTCCGGCGGATTTTTTGGCAATATGGTGGCTGGAAATGAAAAAGAAAGATAGTTTGTTGGTCTCCTTGAGGAGGCGCACCTCCCGGTATGTTTCTTTTGATGTTTCGGAGACTTTAGAAAATCGAGGTTAAATTTTCTAACGGCGTTAGGCGTCATGCCCCTGTTGTGATAACGAAATTGAAACACATGTCCCACTTTGTTAAAAAATGAAACACATGCCCCTATATGAAAATGGCTCAAACCACAGATACTTCTGTACATTTCCCAAAAACTTATATGTGAGGTCGTAAAGAGTTGCCACCTAACCCCATCATGTAAAATACCCTATATTTATATATATACATACTTATTTTTAACCTGGTAGGCTATACATACACATGTCCTAAATATAGTATATTAGGGACTTGGTGACTATTTTCCTAAACTACGAATCCTGTATATGTACCGCAAATTATACCGTGGGATCGACCCACCATGCACATGGTGTGCCGATCCCAAAACGACATAGTTTTATCTATATTAAAATCAAGGTGCCGCCGACTTAGGTATTTCAAAATTGCCAAAAGAAGATCGTGTGCTACGCCGTCTTATTGCTTCGCATCATTTCTGGTTCGACTAAAAGGGGGTCGTTCACTACAGGAGGTGTGTCGCCATCGCTGGAGTAACTTTTCCATTAACATTTAAACCTTGCGCATCATTGATTGGCGAGAAACAACGGCTGGTTACATTGCTGGCAAAAGCAAGAAGAATGTAGAAGTTAATTAGGAATCTACTTTATCTTTATCCATATATATATATATATATATATATACAGAAATGCTCAGGTCCCTCCCTCCCCTATCCAGCTGACGTCCGAACTCCGCCATTTGGGGCGGTTCCCGGTGAAATTTTTTGATGAAAATTTTTGAGCATGTTCTTCATCAAGTCTAGTTTGTTCATACCAAATTTCAGCTCAAAATTCGATCGGGAAGGCATTAAAATCATTTTTTGAAGTTGAATGCGTTTTTATATGTATATTTTGGCGCAGCCAACTTCAAAAAATGATTTGAATGCTTTCCCGATCGAATTTTGAGCTGAAATTTGGTATGAACAAACTAGACTTGATGAAGAACATGCTCAAAAAAATTCATCAAAAAATTCCACCGGGAACTGCCCCAAACGACAAAGTTCGGACTGGGACTTCCGTCCCTCCGGCTGGACCTAAGCAGTCCTATATATATATATATATATATATATATATATATATATATATATATATATATATATATATATATATATATATATACAAAAAAGATCAGGTCCAGCCCTCCCCGGTCCAGCCGCCGTCCGAACTCCGCCGTTTGGGGCGGTTCCCGGCGGAATTTTTTGATGAATTTTTTTGAGCATGTTCTTCATAAAGTCTAGTTTGTCCATACCAAATTTCAGCTCAAAATTCGACCGGGAAGGCATTCAAATCATTTTTGGAAGTTGACTGCATTTTTATATGTATATTTTGGCGCAGTCAACTTCAAAAAATGATTTGAATGCCTTCCCGGTCGAATTTTGAGCTAAAATTTTGTATGAACAAACTAGACTTGATGAAGAACATGCTCAAAAAAATTCATCAAAAAATTCCACCGGGAACCGCCCCAAACGGCGGAGTTCGGACGGCGCCTCCCGTCCCTCCGGCTGGACCTAATCACTTCTATATATATATATATATAGACAAAAGTTCATGTCCGGAATTCCGGACAGGAACCGCCGTCCGGACGGAGGCGTTTGGCCGCCTTCCCGGTGGAATTTTTTGATGAAATTTTTATGGATTGTTCTCCATCAAGTCTAGTTTATCCACAAAAAAATTCAGCCAAAAACTCAATCGGGAAGGTCGTCAAATGATTTTTGCAACTTAACTGGTCCGGAATATGTATTTTCCGGACCAGTTAACTTGCAAAAATCATTTGATGACCTTCCCGAATGAGTTTTTGGCTGAATTTGTGTGAATAAACTAGACTTGATGGAGAACATGTCATAAAAATTTCATTGAAAAATTCCACCCGGAAGGCGGCCAAACGCCGCCGTCCGGACGGCGGTTCCGGTCAGGAATTCCTGACCGGAAGAGTAATATATATATATATATATATATATATATATATATATATATATATATATATATAGTACTCTTCCGGTCAGGAAGAGTAAATATATATATATATATATATAGTACTCTTCAGTTCACATATGAAATTTTTATGGATTGTTCTCCATCAAGTCTAGTTTATCCACAAAAAAATTCAGCCAAAAACTCAATCGGGAAGGTCGTCAAATGATTTTTGCAACTTAACTGGTCCGGAATATGTATTTTCCGGACCAGTTAACTTGCAAAAATCATTTGATGACCTTCCCGAATGAGTTTTTGGCTGAATTTGTGTGAATAAACTAGACTTGATGGAGAACATGTCATAAAAATTTCATTGAAAAATTCCACCCGGAAGGCGGCCAAACGCCGCCGTCCGGACGGCGGTTCCGGTCAGGAATTCCTGACCGGAAGAGTACTATATATATATATATATATATATATATATATATATATATATATATATATATATATATATATATATATATGGCAGTTCACATCAGGAGTTCCTGATGAGAACCCCCGTGCGGACAAGACCATCAGAGGGTCTTCCCGGTGGAATTTTTTGATGAATTTTTTTTAGCATGTTCCTCATCAAGTTTTGTTTGTCCATACCAAATTTCAGATCAAAATTCCATCGGGAAGGCAGTCAAATAAATCCTGGAAAAATATGGTGCATTCTGCGCACATATAATGTGCAGTATGTTTCCAAGATTTATTTGACTGCCTTCCCGATGGAATTTTGAGCTGAAATTTGGTATGGACAAACTAGACTTGATGAGGAACATGCTCAAAAAATTTCATCAAAAAATTCTATCGGGAAGACCCTCTGATGGGCTTGTCCGCACGGGCTTGCTCTTCACGAACTCCTGATAGGAACGGGACTCATATTATATATATATATATATATATATATATATATATATATATATATATATATATATATATATAGGGTTTGCATCAAATAAAAAGTACATCCTAGGTGAAAAATAAGAACTAATCTTGGCCATTGATGTGAAAAAAATGATGGAAGAGATCAAATTTTAAGTTGGAAACGCGGTGGCATTTTTGTAATTATGAAGAACTTTTATTGAAAATTTTGTGACAAATGTGGATCAGAATAGTCAAAAAGTGCATATGTAGAGCACAAAAGTGCAATACGGTACACAATAAAAAAATGCACAAGCTGGAAAATTTTGACAATCTTTTTTTACATGCACGAGTGCACTTTTAATCAGTTACTATCCACTTTATAGTATAAACGTTTGCACATTTTTAAAATCATCTCTTGTGTTTAAAGTTCATCTAATCCATCCATTTTCACTTTTCACTCTATATATATATATATAGAGAGAGTGCTCTTCTCATCAGGCCGGCCTGACGGGATGCTCCGTCCGGACGAGCCCATTTGGGCACCTTCCTGATGGAATTTTTTGATGAAATTTTTTGAGCATGTTCCCCATCAAGTCTAGTTTGTCCATACCAAATTTCAGCTCAAAATGCGATCGGGAAGGCATTCAAATCATTTTTTGAAGTTGACTGCGTCAAAATATACATATAAAACTGCAGTCAACTTCAAAAAATGATTTGAATGCCTTCCCTATCGAATTTTGAGCTGAAATTTGGTATGGACAAACTAGACTTGATGAGGAACATGCTCAAAAAAATTTCATCAAAAAATTCTACCAGGAAGGTGCCCAAACGGGCTCGGCCGGACGGAGCAGCCCGTCAGGTCGGCCTGACATGAACATTCCTATATATATATATATATATATATATATATATATATCTTATACAGTTTGGACAATTTATATTTTGATTGGCTCAATTAAGTTACATTCAAAAATATATACAGTTACATCTTGTTATGCACGATTTACATCATTCATGTACGCGAGTTACATATCTATTGGTGTGAGTTACATGCCAACTTTCTTCAGCAAGTTACATCTTGTTTACATGTGATTTACATTTTTCATAATCCAAGTTACACCATAATAAAATGCGAGTTACGCAACTCAATAAGCCCTTGCTATAATGCTATTCAAAGAAAAATTAATTTTATAAAAATCATTTTTATAGTCTTGATATATTAGAAACAAAACATATACACAATCTACTAGTCATGGACCCGGGCCGGGCTGGTTCCGGTTCCGGGCCGGGCCCGTCCGGGCTTTTTTTTGGGAAGGAAGGCCCGGGACCGGCTCGGGTAGCCACCAGGTCCGGGCCGGGCCGGGCCTCCGGTTCGGTCATAAATTTTTTTTTTTTTTTGCTTTCCTAACCCCCCACCCACCCCCCCCCACCCCCAAACCCCCAAACCCCTCCTAACCATCAAGCCCAACCCGGCTAACCCCAAAAAATGAAAAAAAAAAATTAAAAAATATTCAATTCGGCCCGGGCCCGACCCTGCCGGGCCGGTTCGCCAAATATAAGGCCCGAGCCGGGACCCGAGAACCGGGCCGGTTCCGGGCCCGCACAATGGCGGGCCGGGCCGGTCCCGGGCCGGGCGGCCCGAACCGGGTCCATGCCTACAATCTATGTAATATAATTGGGCAATTAGACTCTTTTTTTCACTATTTACATTGAATTCAATATTTTATATCTTATAATCCGTATTAGACAAGTTACATTTCCATTTGCCTGGAGTTACATTTCCCATCAGCATGGGTTACATTTTTTTACACGCGAGTTACGTCATTTTGCTACTGGAGAATGAAAAAAAAAAAAAATTATTGTTCACCCGCGTGAACAGTAACACACGTTTTTTGCTGCGGGAGCAGCATGCCCAAGGTGGGCTGCTCCCACGGTATACGAACTGATATGTACCGAATGACACCCAAGTTTTCTACAAACATCAAAACTAAGCTATAAAAAGTACGAGTATTTTCCGGATCCGTTGTAATACTTCAAACACATCCATTTATGTTACTCCTTTGATGGTTGTTTCCCTGGTTGTTTCTAATGACAGAAAAACTGAATACAAAAATTCAAAAAAGTCGACTAAAATTACAGGCGAAGTGCACAAAAGCATTTACACACGAAAAAAATCTATGGAGCTTACCTTAGATTTAGGGGAAAGACAGATCTAATCTTGTTTATATTATCATCATTATTATTATTACTACTACTACTATGCAGAAGAATTCCTAGAACGCCCATCTTCGAGTTGTTTGGTGTTTCGGTTGAGCAAATGCTTGATTTCAGCTTCCCTTTTATCAACAAAATCTATAAGGCCTTTAAAGCAACTGGAGCGTGCAGAGGGTTCGGGTTGCTGACTCACTTCCTCAGGGGTATACCTCCTGTACTGCAAGCACACCCTACAAGCGAAAACTGCAAGTGCGAAAAAACAGGCAATGCCACACATTAGAAACAGCCCCCAGAAGCTCTTCAGAGAAAGCGAGCTGTCATTATCCACAGCTTGTTGGCTCTCTTGTGATGAGCAACCTGCTTTATTTTTAGACAGCCATTTGTCATGGATTCTTTGGAGCTCTCCATTTTCTGACAGTTGTAGGATTGCCGTTGACATGTCAACTGCCAGTGGGGAGTCCCTCTCAAATGCCTGCTCACCAAAACTACTATTTCATTAGTTTTTTCATCCCATAATAAATAGATTGTTAAGAAGACATACACTAGACGAACTGCATTCATAAATCTTTTTTTTGCAGCAAAAAAAAAGTTTTATTAAAATATAGAAAAGAGTACAACCGCTAATGAAGGTAGAAATTTAAAGAAATAACATAAAGTTAATGAAATACCACGCTAATGATCCACACCCAAAAAAAGCTCTCCTCCTACTGCATTCATAAATCAAGAGTAACTCGTTTGAGCTGGTTTGAAACTGATTCTTCTACTGTTCTAGGGCGTAGGAATTACATTTACATATTGTGAGGACGTACATGCCGCCTTTACTCCAACATATTTGTCAGCTTTGAGTCAAGCCATTTGAATTTGTTTTTGCACATCTCCTAAAAGGCCTCAAAGCAATGGAGTTCGGTGGATAGCTATATTAAATGTTAATTTTCCTTACTCTTCTTATGTGGGAATTAAATACAACACCTCACATTAGAATGCTAAAATAGAGAAATATGGGTGTATAAGATGCGGGTAGTAATGTACTATATGGCTCAAATGCTTCATAATTTGAGAGACTTTGCCCCAATCCTGAATTCTATTAATGCATGGCTTAGGTGTTAGAAACGATGCTTAGATTTGTAGAAAATGAAATCGGTTAATTAGTTAGAGACACAGTTTTCCCTGTGATTTATAAGGGTTTTCTTTTCACCGCAATTGTGCTGCCAAACACTCAAGGCTGGTTATCTTTTAGATCCACCACAATCAATGACAAACACCTCTAGTTAATCAATTGTCCACAGAATGCAACTACCTCCGTATGATTCTTTCTCTCTTCATACTTGTAATTCTTTAATACATCCTCCAAATCCTTTCGGCTGGCAGAGATGATTGACTTCGCACCCCATTTTTCATCTAAATTTGAATTCAGCGCCTCATTTTTTGAATCACTGATATTGCATCCCACATTTATAAAAAGAAACTGTTAATGATGGGGTAGAAACTCCAATTCAGAAGAACAAAAGGTGCAAACTCTCAAATTTGCTGTGCAAAAATAAGTAATTTAAACATGAGATGCAAACTCAAATTTGGATGAGAAATGGGATCCACTCTCCAACTTTCCCCCTTTTAAGAATTCTTAATGTGGTATTGATCATCATTAGCAGTTTTCCCATTTGCACATAGTTTGTTGGAAATAATTAGTGAAGCAAGCAAATACTAGCCAATCCTATCACTACCTAGCCAGCAAGGTAAGGTACTTACAAATCCCCATCCACTCTTAGTGAACTCCTGCCCCACAATCTTATAATTGCATTTCGTGCTGGACAAGAAAACCTCTACATACGGAAGCTCATCAACAATTGCAGAAACACCACCTCCTTTTGGACCTTTCCGTAGAGAATCCATATAGTCTTCTGGCCTTCTCAATATCCTAAGACGAGATTCTGCTACACTCATCTCTTGAATGAGATAATTATAAGCAAATGATCCATCTTGGATTCCTATTGGATCAGAGCTGGATATCAAACTGTCGATTCCTTGAATTCCCGTTGAGAGCTGTTGGACTGTGAGAATGGAAGTCAAACTAGCCGTATAGCTAGAGTTTATGATCAAAACCACAAAGAGCCACAAAATTAGGACAAAACGTCCAAGAGCACTCACAGTGTTCTCCCCTGCATCAAATTTGAAAGAGATTTAGTCAAATTACAAAATGGTCCTTGTAAGTTCATAAATATTTCATGTAGAACGTTTGAGTAGTTAAATTTCTTGTAAATGAAATTCTTAATACTCAAAATTCAAATATGATAAAGAGTACAGTTATATTACTACGTGGTAGAAAATCGGTATTTTCACTGAATTTTGTATTAATATTAGATTAAACTGTTTAGGTTTTTTCAGGAAAAAAAAGGAGAAACTTTGGAGTAATTTAGACCAAGCACACCCAATACCTACCACCAATATCATAATATTCTATAACCTATTGACCTCATTTTTAGACCATTGAACTTGTTAAGGGGTACATGTGTGACCTTTACAATCCTAAGAATTGTTTGATAATTTGACCAATCTACGGAAGTTAGGTGTAATTAGATATATATTGACAACAGCATGACTAAAACATAAATATTAGACAAAAATATGAGTTTAGTACACATTGACCATAATTTTATGTTCTCAGCGACTTAGTGACAAAACTCATGTTCAATATAATTCTATGGTGACTATGCCTGGTATCATAGTGACTATGGTCGCCATGTAGTAATGCTTTTGTCAATAAGTCCTATTTTAGTGACATTATTGGGAAAATCCCATGTAATTAACCCAACAGAGTAGCACTGGAATTCTGGTAAGCATATCACAACTACAATGAAAAGAAGAAACATAAGAAACTCACTGTGTGCAAAGAACATAGTTGAGAATGTAAACCTGCAAGAAGAAACACAGGATTCAAATGTTATGACAACGAAATGAAATGTCTCAGGTGTTAAAGAATCCAACTAACCAGAAGACAGTGACAAGTTGTTGACTTGGTGGGCCACGGAACTCCTGATTACTCCGATGTTCAAGAATCCAAACCACAGCTCCAACAAAGAGAAAGAAAGCCCCAGTGACACACCACATTTGCAATGTGAATGGTTGGAGAAAAGCCCATTGATTGGATTTATCCTCTTTTTCAAGCACAACCACCACCAATCCAGAATCAATGTATGGCTGAGTGAAGTCCACAATCCTTGTCCGGTTCATGGTTATTGTAATATCCCCCACAGCTGCATCATATTTCTATGATTCGAAAGAAAAATACAACAAGGAAAAGGGAATAAATATTAACCTCACACATTCTAATTGCAAAAAGTATTAAGATACAATTATTTCCCAAGATTTGACTTGATTGGAGCAGTAGCTGAAGACTTATAAATGTGAACTTTTATTGTTATATTTGAAGAATATAGCTTGACGTATCTATAGAAAGGATAGGAACGATGGAGGGAATAATGACAAATTTATGACTAAATAAAACTAATGGAAGAAAAATGTGACTTTTAATATGCAACGACCATAATTACCACAGTAATTTTCAATTCTATACTGAAGTAACCATGCAGATAGTAGGCCTTTTTCTATGAATATTACTAAATTAAATTCAAAAGACAAATTTATGATTTATTTTAAAATTTTCCAAAAAAGTGACATACCAACTCTGAAATACACTATAGTGACTCTTGTCCAGTCACTCGGACACAGTGACTAGCCATATTTTGTCCAAATAACATAACATAACTCTGTTAGTAATATACATGTCATTTTTTCTTCATAGTATGGTTATGGTACTTTCGATGTAACCATGTAGTTATACTTTATCCATGGTTTTTCTACTTTTATTAATATTATAGGAAAAACTCCAAAATATTGTTTCTGACTAGTGGAAATAGTTTTCAACCAGCAATAGACGCGCCTCGGTTATTACCTCACTGGCTGCGTCATTGCCCCAAGCGCAAAGATATTGTTTCTGATTAGTTTGCTAAGAAACTACATGAGTTAAAAGACTCGTATGAATAGTCTTATATGTGAAAATATAACAGGGAGAGTAGTTATAGCTATATATACTATTAGTGAAACTTCTACACAGGATGAGATCTAATCAGATAAAATCAAATAAAATTGAAGTAATTAAGGATATAATATTCCATTGTATCATTAACAGTTTAACACTTACCTGTTGAGCAACATCTCCCACAATACTGTTGAAAGAAGGATTTCGTTTGCCATCTCCATACAATTCATAGATATGAGGAACGGGGTAAGGTAACAACAGTACAGCAGCTTCAAATATGTCGATACAATATCCTTTCACCCCAGCCGATCCTTTATCTTTACTTACAAAAACTGGGTAAGTAACACGGTTAGGAACTGCAATTCTCAAAGGCTTTCCATTATTTGGGAACACCCATCCCCGGGGACGCTCAGTGACATCACCGGGCCATACAACACCATTCAAGCTTTGGTTTCTAGTTGAAGAAGTATTGGGATGCTTTGGATACAAATTCTCTGGATTAGCAAGAGAAATTCCAGAATGGTTTGACCAATAACCTACCAAACGTGATCCGGTTCCAGCGAAGTTGAGAATGTCAAATGCAGGGTTAACCAGATCCTTTTCTCCATCAAACCGAACCTCTCCAGTTAGCCCGGTGAAGTTAACCACACTAGTAAGAATCTCAAGTATCTTTTGACCCTGGTCAAAAACACGAAGAGATGCCAATTTGGGGTTATCAGAAAATGTAACATTTCCGCCTTCACTAAAAAAATGCTCAAGAGCATGTGCAATTAACCACACTGTATCATAAGCATAGAGTGCATATGAATTAAAGCTTGAGGTTTCTTTCTCTTTAAAGCTTCTCCACCTGGAAGCAAAACTCTTCTTTTGGTCTGTGTTTGGGGTATGATGACGAAGTGCAATAACCCCTTGTAAGACGTCCATGGTTTTCGGATCAACTAATTCTGAAGAATCCATAACAGAAGGAAGCCAATCCGTAGCAATCCAAACGTAGCCATTTGACATCATACTTAAACTTTTTGCCATTGATAAAAGTGATAGGCCAGAATCAGGATTTACATGAACGATATACACTCGAGACTCCATAAGGTTCACGTTTATTAACAAATCATATATCTCATTTCTTGAGGATCCAGGAGAAAAGGGTGCTTTGTATGATATCTTGGCACGTTTCCTAGAGAGAGCATCTCCAAGTACTGAAATCCCATTTCTACCATTTTCATCATCAACAAAGATAGCAATCACCTCCTTCCATCCAAAATACTCAACTAGATCAGCAACAGCATGCATCTGGTAGTAATCATTAGTGACCGTACGTAGGAAAAATGGGTACTGCAGGGAAGAAAGGGTGGGGTCCGTTGCCCCAAATGACAAAAGCGGGATTTTAAGCTCATTCACAACATGTGAAATTATGTGCGCTATCCCTGAGGATTGTGGCCCAATTGCAGCAACCACATCTCTTTCCATCAATTTTAGAGCTACAAAGCAACTATGCATGTCAAATATAATACTCCATAGGTGATAATATTAAGAGTTGTAGTTTCAACTTAAAAGATCAACAGGAATAGACCTGTGTTGTATGTTGGTTTCTAATTCTGTATTTATTAATCGGGAATCAATTAGGTGACACAATCAAGGCCCAAGGGAAAAGATAAAACAGCATGGTTCAACATAGTTGCCGACCTTAAACCTAAGTGGGATGGCTTTACTCGTTGTTGAGAAATACTGGGGTCATGTAGTTCGTTTGAGATTGGTTTTAACAACAAACTAAGACTAGGATTCCATCCTTAGATTGATACTACAAGATAAGTAGTCTAAGAGCTTATATGTGAGTTCTTATCTTTAAAATGTGGCTTTCAAGAAACAAAAAAAAAAACACAATTAATGTGATTTACCCTCAATAGTTCCAATGAAACCGCTACAATTTGTGTCTTGTAATATGAGGTTCAGCTTTGTGTCCCTAAGAATGTTTGGATCAGAATTGACATCAACAACAGCAGCTATAATGGCTGGCTTAGCAGAGCGCCCGATAACAGAGTTCATTGTGAACAAAGCTCCAATATTTACAGTACTCGGTCTAGCAGTTTCATTTCCACTCCCTTCAAGAATGGTAAGTGGGACACATAAGCAACAAATCAGCAAAAGAACCCCTCTCTTCAGAAGTGCTTGACCTTCCATTTCTACGGCTGATGAGTCAATACACATCACAGTGTCTCAAGAAATCAAGCCCTGGCGCCCTGCTAACACATAAAGATCCAATATTTGAAAACATAAAGATCACCCGAACATTAATAACCACAGGTTGAGAAACAAACCGAGTACATCCCACTTTGAAGTAGGGTTTGGCAGAAGTGGAGAAAGCATATTATACAATTGATTTCAGCAAAAGCAGTCACAATAGCAGTGGTCTCCATTAATGGACTGCGTGGACACAAAGGGGCAGTACTTTAAAACTTCCCAGTACATGGGATTTCCTACAGTGCTTGGAAAAGGCAAATATTCTGCCAACTCACACTGGACAATGAGATAAGGACAATCTGTCCTAAGATGTTATTCACAGCGGAAAAAAAATGGATGAAATTCCAGCAAAAACTGTCGCTTCAGGTTTGAATGGGAAAAGGGGAGAAGATGACTTGTACCGTAAATGCATATAAAATGGAAAGCTCAGTAGAGAATAAATGGTGAGCAGACACTCGCTTCTTGCTTCTCAGCTTCTACCTCTCACCTGCACCGACATAAAATTTGTCCTATGTAGTCATTTGTTGGTAAACCGGCAACCGCACATCCAAATCATTTCTACTTTATATTTCAAAGTTTAACTTCTTTTCATTTTTTGCTAATACGGAGTAATAAAAATAAGGAAAAATAAAAAGCTGAAGTTTGGAATACTGCAACAGTACACCCTACAAATACTTTGGAAAATGCAGTTCACTAACAACGTAGAAGTTAGTTCGGAAACTTTATTCTTTTCTACTCTAATTGGATCTTGTTAAAAAATATTTGGTATGAAATATGTTCCCGACGGATAATTAAAATGGGACAAAAGAGTGGTGCGGTTTTTTTAGAAAAGTGAGATTTTAGAAGTTAATATTGAATTGAACTTTAACCACTCAAATATCATCAAATGTTATACTCAGTATGAACATTATTTAATGGGATAAATACAACCAATTTGAATGCCTACAATGATGATAACAATTAAACATAAAATGGGATTGGGAGACGATTTGGGAGGTATCGTGTAATTGATTGATTATTACGAGTATTTGTGAATTGTGAGGTGAAATAGCTAATAATTTCTTCGTCCCTTAAAATTTTGTCATTTTTTCTTTTTGAGACGTTCCAAAAAACTTTGCTATTTTCCCTTTTAATTAAATTAGTTCGTGGTTCTTATTATTTCTTTCTCCTGCACAAACCCCAACCACACAATTTTTTACTTTCGTAGGATAAAATTGGTATCTTATTCGGACAAAAAATATAACCATTAGATAAGGATACGGACCAATGCATTTTCTTTGGAAAGTGACACTTTTGATATTTTTATCAAGTGTAAATATTTCCAAAGCTAGAGGTCAACGTTATGAGTTTTTGATATTTTTAATATGTGATGAGTTTATTGGATAGAAATATAGAATGACTCTAGAATAAAAATTCATACACAAGATATACTCATTATTTTTCTCACCAATTACAATTAGTTAGTGTGGTTGTTGCACAAAAAATAAGTTTGCGGGTGAATTTTTGAATATTTTGTCTATCTTTATCGTGTCTTGATCTCAAAAAAAGTTCTCCGATTTGTCTGAGTCAAAACTAGTGAATCTTGCAAAGTTATATTTTTTAGGTTTTTAAACTATTGATCACAAGTATATTGTCAAATATTTTGCACGGGTTAGCAGATCTTTGTTCTTTTTTGAACTAGAGTTGTACTTCCTTTTTTGACACGGTAGTGTTATATTTTAAACAAGTACCGACAAATTATATATGTGACATGACATGTAACGTTGGACATAATCCTAGTTTGAACCTGAAATTATGACCATTTTTAGTATGAAAATAATTAGAATTCTAACTTAAAATCATAAATAGTGCAAGGATAATTCAAATTATATATTTCTTTCATTAAGCCAAATATTATTATTTAGAATTATCATGGGTTGAAAACTGAATCTATAATCCATAGATGTGCATGCTCGAAATCCCAAAATAAACTGATGTCACACTTGACCCCATGTGATCCATTCACACCTAACCCCCTTGAGAAATTTCTAGATCCGGCAATGCTTCTAGTCCGCTGATATTAATCGTCTAGACATATAAAGTATGTATTAATAGTTTGTGTCAACACACAATTACCTATATAAGGACAAGTTTGTTTGTAATCGATCAAGCATGTATATGGAGCGTAAGGCTATATGTAGACGACGAAACAGGTTTGAGTTTCTTTACGATCCCTTATCTCACTTGGTTCCTTTAGTCTCAGGTGGTTGAAAAGAGTTTAGAACTATAAATAAGTCATTATTTCTTTTTCTTAATTATCACATCATCACTTCTCCATGTACCAAACTTAATGGTATGGATAAATATTATGTAACTCTAAGATTTTAACTATTATACTACGTAACACTTTGGCCTTTTAGGGAACTCATAATTTCAAGAAAATAAACATGTCCAAGAATATGTATAAACAAAGAACTAGATGATTAAACTTAAATTATTTACATGAATAAAATGTATTATTCGTTATGGAACTTTATTATATAATCGTTTGTGTTCCTGGATGAATTTTTTATCTAATGAAATCAATAACCACTTCGTAATTTAATGAATTTAACCACTTCGTAATTTTTTATCTAAGTATTAAGTACGTACGGAGTAATACGGAGTATTATTTACTCAAAAATCCTCAAGTTTGGTGGAACTCAAAAAAAAGGTCTTACGGGAGTTTTGAAGGGTTTAAGAACACCTGCAAAATTGTTCACCCCAATTTCAAATATTTGCCAAACAATATGAAGGGGTCATACTCCCTAACACAGCCTTAACAAATGTAGGCGCGGACCAGTCCGATAGGTCTAGGTTAGGAGGAGCCGCGGAACCAGTTGGTCTGAGTCATGGATTTCTTTAAAATCTCAATTTTTTGAGAACTAGACTCCCATATTCACATCATACTATTCAACAACAACAAAGAAACAGTACATGAAACTAATTAAGGCTCAAAAATGAAACGGTAGAACACACCAAAAGGAGTTTTAAAAGAGTTTGTGGCAATAATATATGTACATTTGAGCTGCACGAAGAAAACACCAAACTTCTTTATGTACATTTGAAGCAATATGGTTCATAATCAAGCAAACAATTGATCCATGATTAACTAGGAGAAGCCCGCTACAATGTTATCAGATACAGGGATAGTTACTAAGGAGGACTGTCATGCTGAGTAAAAAAGGCTTTGATGGCTTCTTCCTTCTCGTCAATGAACTGCAAAAAATTGCAGACTACCTGAGAGAAGCCGGTATTGGATGATGATGATGATGATTCCAACTGCTTCCTTTTATAACGCATATATTGGCGAACCGTCCTGAACAAAAAGATTGAGAGGGCAATGACACTAACGCCAGCACATAAAATATACAGTCCCCAAAAACTACTTAGTTGGCTCTCGTTGGGCTCTGCTGTTCTTCCTCGCTCTGATGGACATATTGGCTTGCAAAACCATTTCTTATAGATCTCATAAAGCTTTTTGCTCTCAGAAAGTTTGAGGATTGCAGTAGACATGTCAACTGCAACTGGAGAATCTTTCTGGAAGACCTACATGTAAACCGTGCAATTTCAATTTAATCTTAAACTGTGACCACATAACAGGTAATAAGATCAGATGTATTAACCAATGTTAAGTTATCCCACTCCAATAAAGTATACTACCTCTGTCCCATAAAATTATTCCCACTTATCTTTTTGGAATGTCCATAAGGATTCTTCCCACTTCCTTTTAGTGATTTGTGTGGCTAACATTCATTACCCCTTTTTCTAACTCAACCACAATCATACATTTTCACTTTATCCCTACTTTATTAATAAGTGTGTCAAGCCAAAGTGTGAAGAATTTTATGAGACGGAGGAGTAAAATAATAAAAAGAAATAACAATTTGTTTTTTTTGTGTCTAACATGAACTCGTAATAACACAACAATGTAGAAAGAGTGGGAAAAGAAGAAGGGACTAGATACATAAGTAGAAAAGTGCTATAAAAAGTCTAAGAGTAAATTGTATCGATAATGAATAGTATAGAAACGGTGAAGAAGAGTAAATTATAAGGGCAATGAATAGTGTAGAAAGGATATTTTTTGTCTTTTGATATGATGGCAATTGCCATATATAAAAAGTGAAACAAGTATTAATAAACTTACTTAATAGGAATACGAGACAATAAAAAATAAACAGAGGGTTATTAATAACCCATCTGATAATGATAAACTTTGACCGGGAAAATGCATTGGCTCAAATGGCTGCAATGCTGAATCATCTATAAAATAGTTAAAGTTTCAAATGAACTATTAGAAAAAAATGCTAAAGGTATCATCTTCTTTTATGCCAAAAAGTAATTTATATACTATTTCACACTATTAAGCTGAGTTAGCAAAGCTCAATGTATAATCAGTCTTCTGTAGAAAAATCTAACCTGCATTCTATGTGAGTGTATCCTAATCTAATCAAATATTAGAAAGTTATAGAGGGCGTACAAAACCCCATTCTTTCTTTGTAAAAGGCTGCCCGATGATGCCAAAATCAGTCCGGTTAGCTAGAAACAATTCTACATATGGAAGCTCGTCAACAATAGCAGCAACCCCTCCTCTTACTGGACCACGCCGTAGTGAAGATTCGTACTCTTCAGGAGAGTGTAGGCAAACGAGTCTTGAAGGAGGGACATTGTAATTATCTCTCAAATAAGCAGGCACGAATGAGCCGACTAGATACCCGATGGGCCATTTGGTTGCAACCAAGCTGTCTATTCCCGTGATTGGTGATGAAAGCTGCTGAACAGTTAAGATTGATGTCAAGCTTGCTGTGTAGCTTGAGGTCACAACCAGTAGTAGAAATAGCCATACCAGCATCACTATCCTCCCAAGGGTGCTAATCGTATTTTCAGCTGAAATTAATAACACTTAGAACATCAAGTTTGCATAACACTTATTCATGCTCCCCAAATATAATCAGAAATTTTAGTCGCAAATGCCAACTTATTACCACAGTATCCTTTTGTAACAATCTCAAAACTCTATAAATGATTCTCAACCATCACTCCAAATAATCTGTTTTTTTAGTCCTGCACCCACCTAATAATTCTACATTCACAAATAATCTTTAATCATAGATTATTCTAGAAAATAATCTCTCAAACTCAACCATTCTCCCAAAAGAAACGGTCACATCACCAACTTCATCCCCTAACTATCTTTTGGGAATGCTGATCAAATACTTGGGATGAAATAGCACCCAAAAAATAGAGAGAGAAAAGCTAAACACTTTCATTTAAAATACAAAAATAAAGCAAAATAAAATACAAAAAAAATACTTACCATTTGTCTTGAATAGTGTTGAGAAGCTGAACCTGCATAAGCATATTACTCAAAAGTAACTATATTGAAGTATTACCCAGTGGTTAATGCTTTCCCCGGTTTGGATTTCACACGTGGATTCCCAAAAGTGCTTTTAAGGGGTCAAAAATAGTTTTGAATCTCCAAGAGCTATTAGGCTAAAGAGCTCATCCTTTCTGGACGTCAATTTGGAAAAAGCTAATCTAACTTTCAGCTAGACTTCTATGTGGATCTTTTTTCTTAAAAGCACTTCTGTGACTTCAGTAAGAGCTTTTGGCTTTCACAACTTGAAATCCAAGCAAGCACTTCAGTTGTGTAAATAACTTTTAGTAAATGGACTTTTGACAAACTGAAATTCAAAAGGAGGCAAAATGAAGCAAGATACTTGTATCTAGAAGATACATAAGAGTAAAAAGTGATTGTGCAAGAGGGGAGGGGCATACACTTACAATAGCATTGTGATAAGCTGTCTCTTGGGCGGACCCCGGAAGTCATCATTGACACGATGCTCGAGAATCCAAACCACCACTGCTATAACCAGAAATGACAACCCCGTGACAACCCACATTTCTGGTGTAAACGGCTTTAGAAATACCCAAGCACTTGCTTTTGAATCATCAAGCGGACCTACAATCACAAGCCCACTATCCATGTAAGGCTGAGTAAAATCCACAATCCTCGTCCTGCTTGTCACTATAGCAATGTCTCCAACCGCCGCATCAAAGTTCTGCCAAAAACCTCAACAATTACCAACTTATGGTGGTTTAGAATAATTTTTTTCCAAGTATATACCAAAAATACTGCTGAAAATTAAGATTTAGTAGTTCAAGGCCTTATGTATGTTTGCGTTTTTATATTTGGCCAGTGTGGAATTTAACATATCTCGTATTCCTCTAAGCTGGTGAAATTGAAAATTTAAGTGTTACTCGGATCATTTGCTTATTTGAGTTTAATTGGTTCGGATACCACATTACAATTTAAAGTTTCACCAAAATGTTCAATTTCATCAAAAGAGTAGCACAAAACCTTATATGTTAATTTTTATCATTATATTTGACTGGTATAAAATGACTAAACAGATAATACACTATAGGTTTTAAATAAGAGGTTTTTACAAAAAATATTACTAAAATAAAACTTATTTACACAAATAGGACTAATAGTTACCACAATGTAGTGTCATGGTAACTTATGTTTAAAAATTGAACATAAATTACTATGATTTTCATTACTACTCTAGTCACTATTCACACTTTTGTAAACCATCTTTATTTTAGTCATATTTATGTAATAATTTCTTTAAATAAGCTCGGGACCATATATTAGAGTTGTATGAGTCTTAACATTAAAACCTGACAATAAGGTCAGACAGATCATATCTTATACAGTGGCTAAATTTCAAGTCTGGGAATGACTTACATCATTGGCGACCATGTTAACAAGGTCATTATAACTTGGATTAGAAAGGCCGTCTCCAAAAGGCACGAATTCGTATTTGATATTGTAAGGAAGTAATCTGCTTGCTTTATTAAAAACATCAATGCAATATCCCTCCATCTCATTCTTGTCATTCAATCTTGCAAATTCTGTGAAGCTGGTCTTCCTTGGAACTCCGATTCTATACGGCTTCTCATTGTCTGCAAGAAGCCAACCACGAGGTGTTGACCTCACGTCGCCAGGCCAGACAACATTTCCAAGCTTATAATTAAACTCCTTTGCAGTTTGGCTCTTATTGTTTGGGATGGGAATTAAAGGAGGTGGTGAAATAGAGAGCCCGGAAAAATTTGACCAATAGCCGACCGTGTGAATACTCCCTTCTGCAATATTGAAAACCTCATATCCGCTCCCGACCAAGCTCTGGAACTCATCAAAATGGACATTTCCTATCAATCCCTTGAAGTTTGTTTGAGTTAAAATCTTGAGAAGATCTTCTCCTTCTCTGAACACTTTAAATCTCTCAATTTGGGTATTACCTTTGCTAAAGGAAAAGGTAAGGTTCTTTCCCTCTCGAAGAAGAGCATCGATTCCGAGTGCTATGACCCACATACTATCATAAGCATACACTGCATGCGTGATCAACTCAGAATTCACAAAATTCTTGTTTACCAAATTTCTCCACCGAAACATGAAAGCGTCTTTCTTTCTTGTTTTAGGAATATAAGGACGCAGCCCTACTACTCCTTCAAGAAATCCTAAAGATGTTTGGTTTTGAAGGGATGACTCTAGACTAGAAGAAAGCCAATCTGTTGCAAACCAAACATAGTTACTTCTCATCATATCCAACTTCTGTGCAACTTTAAAGAATCTCAACATTGAATCGGGATAGATGTGGACAACGTAAACACGTGGGCCCAATTTTTTTGAATTGTTTAGTGCTGTTGTTAGCTCACTTGAATCAAAGTTGGTGGATAATGGGAACTTAAAGTGGATATATGACATTCCCCTAGCAAGTTGATCTCCTAAATAAGATATCCCGTTACGTCCATATTCATCATCCACATATATGGCTATGACTTCCCTCCATCGATGAAACCGAATGAGGTCGGCCAAAGCAGACATTTGTAGGGAATCGCTTTGTGCCATCCGAATGAAGAAGGGAGATTGGGATGGCAATAGAGTTGGGTCAGTGGCTGAAAATGAGATGAGAGGGACTGAAAGACCAGTGGCTATGAAAGATATCATGTGTGTTATTGCTGAGGATTCTGGTCCTATTATTGCCACCGCTTGGTTTTCAATAACCTGAAACACTGGATGAGTAATTTAGAATCAGAATTAAATTAACTTGCTTACTTGCTGTACTTAAAGAATTTGATTTTGTTTCTTTTGAGAGATCTCCAACATATAGTATTCACTGGAAACTAGAAATAGTTCTGAAGTAACATAGGCACTATAGGAGCGGTATTAAAGCTACAAATCCTCTAATAGATTGACATGCGATATTAAGATTTAAGATTCCATCTTAAAAGCTAAACGTAATGGTAGAAGTAACTCGATGCATTTATATCATGGTTCGCATGATTACGCATTGGCTTATATATTAGATTGTCAGTATGCACCATTGTTATAAATGTGTAGATTGATTAACATGTGGTTCTATGAAATGGGATGTTTTAAGTGATCTTCTGAAATATAATTATAATAACATAAACTTACATAAGGTTATGTGAGTTTGAACTTTTATGATGAAACCTCAAATTCCTTGTTTTGAGGGGTTAATCAAGTGAGTAAATTCATGCAGTTCTACTGAAACTTTCTCAATTTTAGGCAGACCATTTCCAGGGTAATTCAATTCCAACTGACACCATAGATTGGGGTGAAATTATGCTCAAAACTAGAACCTAGGGATATGAATGTCTGCAAAATGGTCCATATTGGCTTTCTTCCTTCATCAACTTTATTTATCTATTAAAAAATGTAATGAAAATAATATTTTTATTAAAAAAAAGGGGAAAATGAGAGTTACCTCCTATGGTGGCCAAGAAAGCACTGGAATTAGCATCCACCATGGTGAGGTTGAGCTTAGTGGAATGGAGAATGGTGGGATCTTCATTTATATCAGAGAGGGCAATCTCTAGGGCAGCCTTTGCTGCCCTGCCAATGACTGAATTGAAGGTGAAAACTGCCCCAACATTCACAACAGTCTCAGCCGGCGGCGGCGGCGGGTTCTCTTCGCCCCCGCACTTTACGGTCAAAATCAGGAACCCCAAAACCAATAAAGCAAAAGCTTCGCCCACCACCACCACAAACTTCATTCTTTTTATTATACTTTTACTTCAAAATACATGTAAAATAGCAGAGAGCTCCAACTCGCATGATCCTCTAAACGAAAGCATCTGTTTTCCTGCTAATTGTTTTGAAGGAAGTATTCATAAAACCAATCTGGTAATTCTGGGGAGGGGGGAAACATGGGAAAGCACGATCCAGAGAAAATCAGGAAAAGAAATACTGAACAGTGAGAGTGTGAGAATCTGATACTGGACTGAAAAAGGTAAAATGATACTCCGTATAATGGAATGAAGAAAATGGCCGTTAATCAGCTTTGAACCACTGGCCAACTTGATACCGGTCCTAGACACATTTTTCACTTACAACGTGCTTATTTGCATTGCCAACTCTAAAAGGGGAATTCTATTTATGCCCAAACAATCAGCAGTGTTGGGTTATATCACGTAGGGGCTGATAATCGAGTACTTGAATTGCTTATCGTGTAAGTTCACTTTCCGAATCGATATTTCTTCTCTATGTGTGGGTTACAAAAAATTCAATCTAGGATAATCCTTAAGGACACTCTAGAACTTATGCACAAGAACTAGAGCCAAACTAGTCGAGTATATGGATTGTTATCTTAATTTGAATGCCAAAGTAATGAAGATAAGTTGGATATGTTTCCTCTTTCTACTCTGGACGAAATATGGTGATATATATTCATATTAACCGTCCTAGGCAGTTGCAACACGTTTGAGAAACCGCAGCAGTTTTTGGGAAACTGCTGGAAACTGCCCAACCGTTCTAGAACTCGGTCTAGAATCACAGAACTGGTCTACTGAAAGTTATACCTCGAGTTCTACCTCAAGTTCCACTAACGTAGACACTTTGGAATTAAACTAGTTCTTATATACAAGTGTGCACTCCACACCTACTAACTTGTTTTAGATCATAGTTCTAATTCTCATTGGCACTCATGTCATTTCCAATTACACAAAACGGCCGGTGACACTAAAATCACCAACAATCCTCCCCCATTTTAGTGTAACCCATGAAATGACATAACAAAGCTTACAAACCAAAACTTGCACATAAATGGAAATGTCGATACGATTGAATTTCCATCTTAGTATTTTACACATTCAAAATATTCGAGAATCGGGGTGTTCTACGGATTGAACCCTTCAACCCATTTGAATACCTCAAGAAAAAATACACACAAGTTTCTATACTCAACCAGAATACAAACTTGACACAATTATAAAGCCGTGTGTATGTCCTAATCCCATTCATGACTGTATAAAAGCCAAGTCCCAAACTTTTTGAAGTGTGGCTACACTTCACGATCATATAGGTAATTCCTTTACTCGTGTACCTGCTTACACTTTATCAAAGGAATTATTAAGAAATAAATTCAGCCTTCGTACTACAGGTCCGAACACACACACCTTGGGATGATTTTCATTGTGTGTTCCAATCCATTAAGTGTGAGCTTTCTGCATTGAATTCGGCCTCTAACGTTGTATTAGAGGGGAATTGGGTGTCTCACCATTAAGGATTAAATGGACTTTAAACTCATCCCTATAACAGACTTATGCACTAAGTCCCGGGCCAAACTTTTGGTCAAGTAGTCCGCCAAGTTATGTCGCGATCTTACAAATTCCACCAAAATTACACCATTCATGATTAGTTCCCTAATCATACTATGTCTAACACCCAAGTGTCTAGACTTGCCATTATAAACATGACTATACGACTTAGCCAAAGTGGCAGCACTATCACAATGGATAGAAATAGGTGCAATCGGCTTCCTCCACAATGGAATCTCAAAAATCAAATTTCTTAACCACACCGCCTATTTACCGGCGGTAGCCAACACAACAAACTCATATTCCATTGTTGAACTTGTGATGCCTAAGTTCGCTTGGATGCCCAAGAAATGGCACCTCCCCCAAGCAAGAATACCCAACCACTTGTAGAAGAATGATCCCCAACATTGGATATCCAACTAGCATCCGAATATCCATCTAACACCGAAGGATACTCAAAGTAACACAATCTAATGTATAATCAGATTCTGTGTAGCCGCCAAAGCAATTAACAACCTAATGGTTGTAATTCGAGCAACTGGCGCCTACGTGTCAAAATAGTCAATTCCGGGTTTTTGTCTAAAACCTTGAATGACTAACCGAGCCTTAAACCTGTCAACAGTTCCATCCACTTTCATCTTCCTTTTGAAGATCCATTTGCAACCTAAGGGTTAAGAACCCGGTGGCAAATCCGACAACACCCAAGTGTTGTTCTCCATAATTGATGACATTTCATCATCAATTGCTTCCTTCCAAAAGGCAACATCTCGGGACTCTATTGCCTCTTTAAAGGTCTTTGGATCATCCTCAACTTGGTAACAATAATAATATTGTACCCCTACTTCATCCCTTGAACCTTCCACTAAATACAAGTGAAAATCGGGACCAAAGTCTTTCACGATGCGGCCTCGTTTGCTTTTCCTTATTTGTGGTGCTTCGAGATTCAAAACACCATCCAAACATTCTGGAACTTGCACCTCACTAGTGCGTGGAACTAGGTCCTTTGGTCTTTGAATTGATGAAAATCTCATCTCATCAGATCACATCCCGAGACTCAATCACGATGTTAACCACTACCGCATCGTTAGGTTCTATTACATAAAACCTATAAGCCTTGGAATTTTCAGCATACCCTATGAATATGCAATCAATTCCCCTTTCCCCAAAAGTTTTCCTTTTGGGCTCGGGCAATTTTACAACCGCCCTACAACCCCAATCCCGAAAATATTTCAAATTTGGCGCCTTGTTGTACCAAAGCTCATATGGGGTTGTCTTGTTCCGTTTGTTTGGAACCCTATTTAGAACATAGCAGGTCGTGAGCATGGTCTCTCCCCAAAACCCTTCAATCAAACCTGAGTAGGAAAGCATGGAATTAACCATTTCCTTTAACACTCGATTTTTCCGTTCAGCAACACCATTTTGTTGTGGTGTATACGGAGCCGTGGTCTCATGAATGATTCCAACAGATTGAAAATAATGGGAATCCATATATTTTCCTCCCTGATCAGTCCTAAGACATTTAATTGGAATACCCAATTGCAATTCAACCTCGATTTATACACTTTAAATTTCTCTAAAGCTTCATTCTTAGTGTGTAATAAATACACATAACAAAACCGAGTTGAATCATCAATAAAAGTAACAACATAATTTTTATTGCCAAGGGAAGGAGTTGAGTGAAAGTCACATAGATCACTATGTACAAGATCCAAAATAGCCGAATTCCTTTCAACATTAGGAAACGGTTGTTTTGTGATCTTAGTAAGCATGCAAGTCCTACACTTATCATTATTAATATCAAAAGCAGGAATCAAACCATGTTTAGACATTTCATGCATTTTTCTAAAATTAACGTGAGCTAGTCTAGCATGCTAAATCATACAATCATTCATGTAAGATGCCACAAAAACAAAATTATCACTAGGAATTAATTTATTCACAACATTTAAACGAAACATGTGATTTGATAAATATCCAAAACCAACAAACACACCACACTTGGACAGAATATATTTATCGGATTCAATCACTTGTTTGAACCTTAAATTATTCAATATACTTCCCGAAACAAGATTCTTTTGAACCTTCGGTACATACAAAACATCAAACAGCGTAATTGTTTTTCCAGAAGTAAATTCTAAAACAACTACACCCTTTCCTAAGATTGGCGCCATTGACTCGTCTCCCATGCGTAAGAAGGAACCGACCTCCACTGGTTCTAGGTCTTCAAACCATCATTTATCCTTACACACATGGCTCGTAGCCCCCGAGTCAATCCACCATGCACAGTCATCATCCTGTACATAAAAAGATTTTGGAACGAGTGATACATAATTCTGGACAGAATTATCAAAGTTAGTCATCACGAACTAACCTCCTTTCCGTGGAACCAGGTCCTTAGACCATTCCTGTCCACTTCCACTCGTTCCAGTGCCATCCTTGTTCAGTTTCACTCGAATCAGGTCCAGACCATTCAGTTTCAATTCGATTGTTGGGGTATATCACGTAGGGGGTGATAATCGAGTACTTGGATTGCTTAAGAATCGTGTAAGTTCACTTTCCGAATTGATATTTCTCCCCTATGCCTGGGTTACAAGAAATTCAATCTAGGATAATCCTTAAGGACACTCTAGAACTTAGGCACAAGAACTAGAGCCAAACTAGTCGAGTATATGAATTGTTATCTTAATTTGAATGCCAAAGTAATGAAGATAAGTTGGATATGTTTCCTCTTTCTCCTCTGTACGAAATATGGTGATATATATTCATATTAACCGTCCTAGGCAGTTGCAACATGTTTGAGAAACCGCAGCAGTTTTTGGGAAACTGCTGGAAACTGCCCAACCGTTCTAGAACTCGGTCTAGAACCACAGAGCTGGTCTACTGAAAGTTATACCCTCGAGTTCTACCTTGAGTTCCACTAACGTAGACACTTTGGAATTAAACTAGTTCTTATATACAAGTGTGCACTCCACACCTACTAACTTGTTTTAGATCATAGTTCGAATTCCCATTGGCACTCATGTCATTTCCAATTACACAAAACGGTCGGTGACGCTAAAATCACCAACAAGCAACAAACGACACATCCAAAAACCTTCCACGTGCCATGTAACTAGCCATATATGCAACAACACTCATCCTACAAACACTGTGTTAGTAACCAATAGAGTTTAATGCACCAAACCCCCTCGTGATATAGAAATTCAGTGTATTAATCCCCTGTGATTTAAAAAATGCATCAAACCCTCTTGTGTTTTAATTAATCATGCACAAAACCCCTTTTTAATAAATTTAATGATTTGAAAATTACTTTTCGTAATATCCTGATTGAATGTGCAAGTAAATATGTCTAAATCTCTAAATCATACAAAAATGTTAATCATTTTTCTTTTATTTGACAATTAAATTTGTTAATAGAAGGGATTTTGCACACGATTAATTAAAACACGAGGGGGTTTGATGCATTTTTTAAATCACAGGGACTAATGCGCCGAATTTCTATATCAAAGGGGTGTTTGGTGCATTAAACCCGTAACAAACATGGACGGATCCAGGATTTCGAGTCAGGAGGCAAATTTTTTTCATTAGTGTAGGGGGGATTTTTTCCTACTAGTGTAGCGGAGCGAATTTTTTTACCAGCGTAGGGCTCTGAGCTATTTTTTATTCCAAAAAATCCATTATACATACATGACGACATTCAAATCTATTACATTCTGAGTTTAGACAATGGAAAATAATTTTGATTTTATAATTGAAG